GACCTTCTAGCTGTGAGGCGCTAACGGTGCTAACCACTGAACCACCTGCAGGCCCCATTCAGGGGGTTTAAACACAAATATCCATGTTTTTAAAGGTTCATTCTGGATTCTTTTGACATCTTTTAATGGTCTTTTGTGGTATTTGGCAGTGAGATGAAGACAGCCTGCAGACCTGAGCTCTTGGTCGTGTTCCTCGAGCTGTTTCTGATCGAGTACATTGGCGTTAATTTTGATGAATGAGGAACTGCAGCTCTGCAGCAGAACGCTGGACTGTAAGAAGATTTCACTCATCAGTGGTTTTAATGTTTAACGAAGCGCGACATTTTCCCTGGAGGTCACATCCCAGCTCTGCTCGAGGAAAGGAACGTTAAAGGAACGTATTGCTCAGTGACATTTTTATTTATTTATGAGATCAGGGACCATGCATCATTACATAGAGACCATCTGATGTGTTGCATACAGAGTGTATAGCATGAAGCTAGTTTTCAAACCCGTCCCTGGTGGGCCTGAGGGTTAGCGTCAGTAAAAACAGAGCAAGGACCAACAAACCACATGAAGAACAAAAAGAGGTGCAAAGAAAACGGGGCTCAAATGAAACCCAAAGAGGGCGAACTGAGACGCAAACCGGCTGTGAGGAGATAAAGGGAAAGAGCTGAACTGGGCGGCTGTGGCTCTGGTGGTTGTCTACTGAGGCTGGAAACCAAAAAACGTTGCTCCCAATGGCAGGCAGCAGCTCTGTCGCCACTGGATGTGATCTACTCTCAAAAATCTGCGTCGCTTTGGATAAAAGCTGAATTAAATTGTCAGTTCCTTCAGTACATTTTAAAGATCTATCCCCATTTTCTTCGTAAGCAACCAGCCCTGAACATGAACGTTCAGAAGACAATGTGAGCACTAATCTAATCTAATCTAATCTAATCTAATCTAATCTAATCAAAACCCCAAACAGGCTAACAGAGAAGCTAACAGAGAAGCTAACAGCGAAACTCCTGAAGCAACATATCTGCCCCACGACTGCCTCAAAACCTGAGTGGCTGCAGAAAACACAGCGATCGACTGACAGATCCGCTGCAGGTTTACACTCAGGTGTGGCGATCGCTGCGCTCTGATTGGAGGAGAGAACTGTGCGGTGGTCCAATCAGGTGATGGGCAGGTGGGATCCGGTGCTCCTCTGCTTTGTGCTGCAGCTCCAAACCTTCCTCCTCTGGTCCTGCGAAGCCCTCTGGTGTCAGAGCGGCGACACGAAGGCGACGAGAACCGACGTCTTCATCCGCGAGCCGGCGCTGGTTCACGGAGCGACAGACGCAGGAGGGCAGAGAAGCCGAAGACACGAGGCCAGTCAGCGATGTGTTGAGTTAATTCTACATAAACCTGTAACCCTGAACACTCCCCGGTCTGTTTGGTGTTTAAATCAAGACGGCGTCGCTCTGAGAAGCCGACCAGCTTTAAGCATCCTGTTCCCAAACAGAGCATCAGCTGTTTGGGAACAGGACGTGAGCAGATTCTTATGAAAACTATGACTTCACAACAATTATGAAACCCAAAGCAACTTCTAGAAGAAACCCACCATCCTTCAGCAAAACTTCTTTAAAAACCTGTTTTTTTTCTCCGGTGTTCGGCTCGATTTGCTTCACTCTCCTGTTCAGGCTCGGCGCTACCTGGCCGCCGACTCTTCTTCTGCTCGGCGCACAATGAACACATAAAAACACGGCCGAGCTTCCCGTTTTATCTCCTGACACTTCAAAGGGAATCCATGCAAAATTTAACGCGCCTATTTTACCACCAGCGGATCCGTCCGGCGTCAGAGCGCCTCGCTGCCGATGACAGCTGGTTCTGCTGCAAAAAAAAACACAACTCCTTATTCTGAGACTCCTGCAGCCGGTAGAGTCCAGAAAACGACCACGTTCACTGTAAAACCTTCATATATTATCTGTACGAAGCTGTGGACTGAAGACTGATGCTGCTGTCGTGTTTCTGTTGAATATAATGTCAGAAAGTCGAGGCTCTTTTTCACTTTAGCCAAAAGAAAATGAGGAAAAGAAGAATTAAAAACACTGTTCAGGAAAAGAAGAAGGAAGTTTAGAGGAGGGAGGACGGAGAAGCGTGAATAAGATGAACTCTCTGGCTTATTTAGTCTCGTCTCTTGATCAGAACCTGCTTCTTCTCACAGCGATTCTTCGTTTGTGTGTTTGAGGTCACACATTAACGAACACTTTGCATTAACTGGTTCCTGCTAAAGGGTCCACGTGACGTAAAGCTGAGCAGATGTTTAAAGAGTTGTTGCAGGACTTTGAAGGTGCAGTTTTGCATCCTGAGGCTGTTTGGATCCAGTCAGTGTTCAGATCTGGATGCAGGTTCACATGTCAGTGTTTCAGGAGGAGGTCGGGGCCGAGGCCAGGTGCACAAAACCCATAAATCATACAACACTGCCCCAAAATTCCCTAAAAACAGGTTTGATTTTGCAGTTTTGTTGTGTACAAATAATTTCCAGAAAAAACCCAAACGTGGAAAAAAAGTAAAACTCAACATGAATCTGAGACTTTCAGCTGAAGTCGCTGCAGTTTTCAGAGATTCTTTCCAGACATTTTACCAACATCGATGTGCTAAATACAGGAAAGACTTAAAGCCTGAGGAGGCAGAAATCTGCAAAGAACAAAAGCCAGGATTTATAAATCCAGCACTCGACTGATTTGCACAAGCTTGACTGATGAGCTGGAACACAGTCGGGAGTTTGAACAACATTTACAGTCACTTCAAATCCCCAAACCTGGATCCTCCTCTGACCTTAACCCTGATTTAAACCATCTGCATGTCGTTTCAATGCTCCGAAACCACTAAACGTTCTCTTCAGCTGCACCTCCGGGTCTCCACCAGGTGAACTTTGTTTGGGTTTCTTTGCAGGGCAGCGAGTTGTCGTCAGCACCAGAAACTTTTCCTCCTTTTGAATCCGGTTGTAGCAGAAACATCTACAGTCAGATGTATTCATACCCTCCAGCTAAAGAAGGAAACAAACAACAACAAAAACCAGCGTGATGGATCCATGAACTGATATTTAAACAAGCCTCTGAGCCAATCACTGCCATCAGGTGTTTGTCCGGCACAGTTTCTATTTTTTTAAAATGATTCTTTTCAACCACAATTAAAAAGCAACATCTTATTTCACTAAATTATAATTTAGCTAATTTTTATTTATTATGACTTTGTTCAGTTTCCAGTTATTTGAGTGTGAGTTTTGTCTTTTCTTTAATAAAAGGGGACGAATACATGTGTAGTGTTAAATATTAAACAGCTTCCTGCTGCCTCCACCTGTCTGCTGTCGGTCTCCAGTGATCGACCTGAACAGGTAACGTTACCTGCCGTCCTCGGCCACCTGCCGCCTGCAGGAGTATCAGACTTCCAGAGAAACGGCAGCTCAACACATCTCTGCTTCATTCTTCATTCATTCATCTGTTAGCCGAACGTCTTTGTTTCTGGGTGGATCTTTCTTTTGCCTCCAGGTGAGTGTTCAGAGAACTTCCTGGTTTGGAGTTTTTGTGGATCATTACAGTTTATTGTCTGAAGTGCACTGAAGACGTGTTGAAGAAGAAAACCCAGATTGTTTTTATCATGTAACCTGATTAGCTGAATTAATCGAACCGTTGATCATCTTGGTTTGACTTCTAGTGACTCGTGTTTATGTGAGAACATTTACACCTTTGGGAAAATGTGAGAACTTGTGGTTTCAGCTGGATGTTGGAAGGTTCTGATGTAGTTCTGCCCAGTGGCATTGAAAAGAAGGTCCGTCCCTGAGCCGTACTCGTGACCTGGATGAAGCTTCACAGACGTTCCTGAGCTATAGGGCCTCAAACATTAACATAAAACCATCAGTACATTCACATGTGTTTGAAAAATCCTCCACTCGCTCAGAGGAACATCTGAAGGAGAACCTTTGGCCCACTTCAAGTATCATCCAGTTATTTTTAAACCGGTACAAGAGAAATTATCTGCTGCCCTCATCTCTGAACCGCCGTCGTCTTAATGCTCCTCCAGAAGGGAAACTTTCAGTCGGTCTTAATCTACCGCGGATACTCGCCGATCAAACCCTGCCGGAGGCGGGTCAGGAGTCAGCCGGCGTCTATCGTCGGCCCGGCCTTTGTCTCGCCGGTTCTGAGCGACGCGGCGGCAGCAGGTCAGCAGACGAGAACAGAGAGTCTAATCTGGTATCGCATCCCGCTGAAGGACAGCAGAGCTAATGGAGTCTGAGTGGAGCCGCGGAGGGAAGCAGGAGGACGGAGATAACGTCGTCATAGAAACTGACATCGTCCGGGAGGCGGCGGCGGCGACGGCGGCGGCCTGTGGTCCGTCACGCCGGGAAACACAAACAGGTGAGACAAAACTTTACTGTTGTGTTCTCTGAGCCGCCAGCCAGCGTCTGTACAGTTAATGAGGATAAGAACAAGCTGTGCACAATGTTTTATATAAAAAATCAGAATCAGCTTTAACGGCCAAATACGTCACAACATAGAGGGAATGTGGTTCCAGATGTTGGTGTCGCCCCGAGAAAGTAGGAAAATAAAAAATAAATATGAAATAAAATAAATAATAATAATAAAAAATAAAATAAAATAAACATATACGAGAACTTCCACATCCGAGCAGAAACACAGTCTGTCCAGTGGTGCAAACAACAATATGATGATCAACATGAAGCACAAAACGCATCTTGATCACATGAAGGCAGGTGATGAAATACACCAGTCCAGGTGTGACCAGGTGAGCTTCACCTGCAGAGCTCAACCTGGTTTATTTATTTGTCCTGTTTTAATCCGTCACACCAGTATTTTAAAAAATAAGTAATTCTATGTTCATCTGCATCTCAAAATGTACTTTCATTTTAAAAAATACTGTAAAATTGTGAGAGTCTGGTTTTGTGCAGAAGCTCCTGTAAGCAGCAGAGTGTATGTTTTAGTTTTAGTTTATTTACTGCTCGTATTAAAGCCTTTTCTGTTTTTTAAAGCAATATTTTTAACAACGTCTTGTTGTTCGTGTCCAGTCTGGTATTTTCTGTCCTCTACGATCACGTGAAGAATAAAAACTCTTGGATGTTAGCCGGTCCTAACACGTTTCATCGCTCTTTAAACCCTCCAGTCCCCCTAAACGTGGACTCAGTCGCTCTTTTTAAATGCAAAGTGAACTCCAACAGACAAACGATGTCCGAGCTCATAATTTTAGAAGCTTCTGTGGTGAAACTAACACATTTTCAGTCACATGAGGTCTGTAAGAGACTGCAGAACGATGCAGAACATCTTCTGGACGATGCTCCACCACAGGAACATGGACAGGAACATGTAGAGGAACATCTACAGGAACATGTACAGGAACATCTACAGGAACATGTACAGGAACATGTACAGGAACATCCCCGTCGGTGGGCTGCTGGAGGACATGGAGAGGACGGGAGAATGTCGCTGCTTGCTCTGACTTTAACCGTTCGGCGTTAGAACCCCCACAGGGACACTGAGGAGCAGCTCATCCTGCAGTAGGAACCTCTTTCTCAGCCCTGACGGAGGTTCTACAGGATGTTCACGTGGTTGCAGAAACCCTAGAAGCACATTTTATGTCCAGAATGTTTGGACGAGTCGACTCCTGATGGGGAAAAACGATGTGAGTCCAGAAAGAAAGTCATAAAAACGCCAAAATCCTGATCATCCTGAGTTTCTTCTGAGAGTTACGAGTGTGTTGGACAGCTGGGTTCTTTACAACGCCAGAGTGTTCTGATCCATCCGACAGGTGAGAACCGCTGCTGGAACGCTGCGTCTAGATGCCAGATGAACACAACGCTGAGCAGATGTTTTCTAAGGAAATCTGCGATCCGACTTCTGCCTTCGACACGTTGACCCGGCGGGTCGTGAAAGACTCCCGTAACTTAGCAGCCGGCAGCTTTGAAAACGAACAGAACCGGGCCCTGCTGTGTGACAGTTTATTCACACGCACGGATGATAATTTTCAAACTATAAAAGATTGGAAACCACAGAATTGACTCCAAACAGGAGCCTGTCAACAGGTAAATCTCTCCGCTGCAGCTTTGCATATTCAGAACCGCCGAGGAGCCCAGATAATGAATTCAATAAAGATATAGCGGCGCCGCGTACGTCCCGATCCGGCGGCGGCGGCGGCTCCGTAAGCCGGATCTCATCCCGCTGCTTGTTTACTTTATTACCTTGTTGCGAGTTTTCCAACAGCACTGCGAGCGATGGCTTGTCAATTATGCATATTGCATATTAATACTTAATTTTATTTGATTTGCCTTTCCTTTGCTGTTAATCCAAGCACAAACAAGCCGCGGATCCTTCAGTGCGGAAGAAGAGCTCCGGTTTCGGCATCTATAGGAAACTGAAAATCGCCCCAAAACCACTAAATCTGAGTAATTAACTCCTTCCTTCACGCTTGGCAGAGAGGGCTTTTTATTTTAATGATTTGATTCACTGATCCTTTAAATTTAGCCCCGCAGGAAGAGATGCAAATAAAACTCCGTCTTCATTTATTGTCTTTGTGCCCTTTTTTATTGAATCCGGCAGTAAAAGCCTCGTTGGATTTATGAAACACAAAACGGACCTGGAGGCCGATTCGGTCGCTCGGCCGGCGTTGTCGAGCGTCCGCCTCACTTCCTGTCATCTGACGCCGCGCCGCAGCTTCAGAAGGTCTGTCCTACGATTGATTAGTCAGCTGACGGGGAGAGAATGTGTGAGATAGCACCTGGAAACCCCCGATGCCGATCTGCCCGATCGATATCCGGTCGAACTGCAGATAAGACATCAAACGCTCCCCGCCTCGCCTGGGTTTCATCCTCTGCAGCTGATGGTTGTCATCCATCAGATACGGCTGAGTGTGAATGTGAACGTGGGATCTTCGGCTGCTGCTGCATTAACGCGAGGACGCTAATGTGAAGCGAGAGGATCCCGCGGCTGAGAGATGAAGCCGCGAGTCGGAGGAGCCAAATTAAAACCATCAGACGCGACTTATGAGGCAGAGACGTGTTTTTATTTTTAAAGAAGGCGAATCCATCTCCTGCAGCTTCCAGCGGCTCCGCTCCTTCACTCGAGTGCCTCCTCCATTCTGGACACTTCAAACTGTTGTTTTTACTCATTTATCCTGCCGGAGCCGCGCTGTTCTGCTTTACAGTCACAACCAGATCAGTTCAGCTGCAAAGACCCAAAATGGGAGCTGGTTCCATGTCGGACACGTTGGACCGATTTGCTGTAAAGGGTCAAATATGGCAGCTTTGGCTGAAACACAGAACTCCATCATCATGATGTTCTGACTGATCCGGTCAGCCACCGAACCTCGACCAGCTGATCAGAGGATGCTGCCTGACACGTGGACCTACAGAACATTCATGTCAGGACGCCGTTTGTGTGTTTCTAGCTCAGCGTTTGGTGAGTTAATACCACAGGGTCCAAACTGAGCCGACTGGGTTCAGGCTACGTGTCCACAGGACCCGTCAGCTTCCGCCCACCAGCTCATTTGCATAAAGTAGACTTCACTTCAAACTTTATGCAAATTTAGTGCAACGCCTCGCTAAGCTTCTGTAAAACGGCTAAAGTAGCGAGGACAGAGTCAGCAGCTTATGTCTCACCTCAGATGCTTTCAGGAATACTTTAGTTTTTACTGTTTATATTTCTGCTGTCCTGCTATCCCCACCCCAACCAGTAGAGGCAGAGGTGTGTTGGTTCTTTCCCACCACTTTCTCAGATGGAATCCAGAGGAAACTTTGGATTGTTGGCTTCTCTGTGTAAAGTTCATAAGGTTTAGGGTCAAAAAACCCCAACAACAACAACAGAGCGAGCCCTCCTCCCATTGGTCCGTTTTGATAACACGCCCGCTGTCGGTCACTCAGCAGCAGCCAATCAGGTTGCAGTACCTGTGGAACCTTCTGGAATTACGAAAAAAGAAGAATGATGACGAACAGGGCGGTCGGCCAATCAGAAAAACAACCTGACGTTGGGAAGGGTCACCGTGTGGAGCGCTGTGAGATGACACATGTTGTGAATTGTGCTGTTTAAATAAAGTTTAATTGAACTGAATTGAATCAGTAAAAGAGAACCGGCCGCCATGTTGGTATGACGCCTCTACAGAAGGTGACCACCTAGCGGCCTGCCAGTCGATGTTGCCTCGGTGGGAACTGGACGTCCTGAGAAACAGACCTGAAAGCATCACGATGAGGAACCAGAGCTCTTCTGCTCTCATCCTGAACATCTCAGAGGTCTGGAGACATGAACACCTGAGTTTCAATTAGGGGGTTTGTTGCTCCTCCCCCTCGTTATGCGAGTCGTTAGTGCTCCTCCTGACACAGTCGGGTTCGTTAGGGGCTCCTTCAGGATATCTGGAACTCCCAATTAGTCAGTCAGAGCTGATGAAGCTTCTTGGATGAGAGGTGGAACGTCTTCAAGGAACTCAAGCAGGTCCAGCTGCTAGGATTAATCTACGAGAAGAACCAGGACCTGGAGGACTGAGGATCTTCACAGACATGTTTAGCTCAGTGATGGACACCAGCCTGGTCTTTATGGTGAAGACAGAACCTTCTCGATCGTGTATCTGAAGGTTTTTTCCTCATCCAGTCTGCACTGAAGCTGGTCCAGACGATGTTCAGACCAAAGCCCACAGACGTCATCGTGGGTTTCTGGTTTCCCATCGATCTGGATCAGAACCGTTTCTCAGCAACGCTTCGATCTTTTAAACCCAGACATGGTGTTCAGTCTGAAGACGATCTATCGGATCTCGTTCTGACCTCCTCTCATCGTGTCTCATTGTTTCTGCTCTTTAGATGCTCTTTTCCTTCCAGACTTTTCCTTTTTCTCCTTCCATCGCTGACTTTCACTTTCTTTGCTTCACTGTTTATCATCTTTGACTGTTTCCGTCTGAGCTGCTTCTTTCCTTTATTCCGTCTCTCGTCCTCACATCTGACTGTTTATCTGCTTTTATTTCATTTCCTTTTTGTTTCATTTCCTTTTTTTTAAGTTTTCCTTCTTGACCTTCTTGCATCTTTTTTAATGATTATACCGTTGACATGTTGTCATTTATCAGCTTCTGGTCCATGTTTTTATTTCTTTCTTCACTTGTTGCCTTTTTACTGCTTTCTGTTCTGTCTTCACCTCTTTGCATCTTTGTCTCTCTTTTTATTTTCTTTCTTTGCTTCCAGCTTTACCATCTTCTCTCTATTTTCTCGTTCTGCGCTGCTTCTTTCCTTTAATCCATCCTGGTTCCTCCTTATTTAATAATATTTCATGTCATCTTCTTACATCTGCATGTTTTTGTGCTTTAATTTAATTTATTTTTCACGTCCTCTCTTTGCATCTTTGCATTTATTTGTCGTTTTTACTCCGTTTTCTTCATTTCTGGTTCACATCCCGTCTTTCTCCTTCTGGATTCATAAAGTTTTTCTCTTATAAGAACTTCGTAGGTCATACTGTGATGCTTCTGTGACTCTACTTTACTTCCAACGCTGCTTCGTGTGCATTAAATCAAACTCAAATCAGGATATCGTTGTTTTTGCTCTTCAGGCGTTTTTCCACTGGAACAAAAAGAAGAAGAACTGGGTTATGGTTTTTCAGGAGGGATGCTGCTGCTGCTGTGTTACTATCCTACTTTACCTCCTCTAATTGCAATTACCAGCGGTGGCCCGGGCTATTATCATTTTGACAGTTTACAGAAGTTTCTTTATTAAAGAGCTGAGAGCGTCTAAGTGGGTTAGGTGTCTTGAGCTTTTGCGTCGGCGCTCCTGACAGACTCCCTCTTCCTGCTCCTTTAATTGCTTGAACCTCGGCAGGTCGGAGGCGAGTTCGCTGGAGCCTCGTCCCACCGAGGACTAATCCGGCGCCGGTTAATGAAGCTCCGAAAACAAATCCGGCAAAAAAATTAACTCCTGTCACCGGCGGGAGGACGAGGGGGGACGTATGGAAGCTGTCAGGGAGCGAACACCTCGGCGTGAGATCCAATCAGCCGGAGCTTCAAATACGCACACATTTACATCATTAATGTCATTAACATTCCCCTCGCCGTCCTGCTCGGAAATCTGCATTCGCTCCCTTCGAGTTGTGCAGCTTCTTATCAGAACGTTATTTTATAATAACAGTGATAATAAATAAACGATAATTGAAAGATAATAAGAGCTGCTTCTTTCTTTGGTCGTTCAGCTGAACTTTATTCTTGTTTTTGGATTTTAAAAAAAAAAAAAAAAAAAAAAGCACTAATTAATGAGAAAAAACAAACTAGTTTTGTTGCTATAATTCACTTCATTTCACTTTTATTCAAATATGTTCAAAACACAGGGGAGCAAAATATAAAATCCTGTAATGAAATAACCTAAAGACGTAATAAATAAAGCCGTAGTTCACGTCTCTGGCAGATCGATGACGGAGCGCCACGGTTTTAATCAC